ATAACTAAGGTATACTTACTGAGCATTTCAAAGAAGTCAAATCTTTGTAAACTTTCCCGGTTTACCAAGGAAATGTGTTAATGGAGACCCTACATTAATTCTTCATCACCTTGAAACTGATTTATTTTTCCTAACTGTTAAAATATATTTTCAAAGAAGCTTTAAAAATTACCAGTTATAGCATCTCTCAAAACAAAAAAAAAAAAAGAGAGAGAGAAAGTAATTCATTTTAAAGAACAATTGTGATGAGGGTTGTAATAACTTTTTAATGAAAGCTTTGCAGGCTGTTTTGGGGACCTGCCCAATTTTACTGCTTCTGCACTGAACAAGACTTTATAACTATTGAAATTCTTCAAAGGTCTTTTGAGCAAGCTGCAGAGCCCTGTACAACTGTAATAAATAGCTTTTTGTAATCCACATTTACTTAAGTAGAGGCAGTTGCTCGAAGCTTGTGCCATCTCTAAGTTAATGAATCTTTTCTGATTGCTGCTTTTAGGCCCCTGTTAAGCAGTTGTTCTGTTTCTTTAATAAACGCCCCTTGTGTTGGCTGCATTTCAGCAGTTTTACCCCAGTGCAGCAGCTGGACTTCTGTTGCATTTAGGTGAGGCTCATCAATATTTTAATATTAATAAATAATTAACAGAAATTATTTTTCTCTGCTCTAATAAATAATTTTAAGACATAATAAAACACTGCAGAAATTTTGTGGCCATTCCACTGTATCTATGCTCGCTAAAAAGTTTTCTAGAACACTTTTGAATTAATGTCTTGATATATAATTTATCCTTACTTTCTCATGTACTATAATACAATTTGTAATATTAATGAGAAACAGCGATACGGATTATTTTAGTTCATTTTCAGGTATTAAAGAGTGATTTGTTCAAAGTATTAATTTCCAAAATCCATTGAATTCCTTAAATTTATTTTTTTTCTGTGTAAAAGAATATGGCATTTCAATGTATATAATAAAATAGTTGTGATTTATTTTATCCTTGTTTCTCTGTTTTAAAAAATTTGTGATTTGAAAGAATGGTGGGTAATAGTTATATGGAATGAAAAAAAAATCTATCCTAAGACTAGAGAAATACTCAGAACTAGAGTGAAAATTTATGTAAGAGGAGAAAGCAGCATGTTTTTCCTGGCAAAAACCTGGTGGTGTGTAAGCTAAAATAGCAAAATTACAGTTGACCACCCCAATATCCCAGGATTAAGAGATTTAATCTGGTTCCTCTTTTGTATACCTTAAATGATACAAATAATTCTCTTATTAAGAGGAAGAAGTTGACACAAGTTTGTTGTGAGAATGGCCAGACATTTATGCAGTTTAGTCAATAGTTTTATAGGGAAAAAAATGAAGAAACTGGTAACAACAAAAAATAAAGCAGTAGGAAAGTAAAAATTTTTAGTACCTTAATGGCCCTCTTTAAAATAATGTCTTGGCGTGTAATATACATTTATATATGTGCCCTTTGGAAAATAAAGAAGAGAGACACGATATACAAGGTAAAGTTAAATGTATTAGATTTTAACTGAAATATTTCTTAAAACAATACAAATAAAAGAAAAACAGAGGTGGTTAGGAGGGAAATAGTGAAGGTTAGGAAGGCTCATGAATCACTTAATTAATCATCCTCCATGAAACTTTTACTAAACTATTGAAAAGTTCTGACACTTTGAATACCAAAAAAAATTCTCAACTAGTGGTGTCACAGTAGACTCGCTATGGTTCTTTCAATTCATTCTTCTTTAAAATATTTATTTGATCATGACATAATGCTAGACAGATATTTTCACTCCATGTTATCTAGTAATGTGTGTTCTGTGAAAGCTGGTATCAAAATTTCTGTTCTAAGGTGACATAAATTTCTAGGAAGCAAAGGTTGAATTGTTTACTGATTTTTTTTTTCCTAGCTCTAGGCCACTACAGTGGCAGCCTCGTGAATGAGAAACATGCAATGACTGGTCTAGAAGACAAACAGAAAAGTATAACCCTTAAGTAGTTAATAGTAGAATCCCAGTCAGTTATTTAGAGGAAAGGCAAGATATTCTCTCTTCACTGTAACCTGAACCATTGATGCATCTCATGAAATAGCAGAAAAACAGCTTACAATAGGAGAGCAAAAAAGTTAGGCTAAAAATAGTTTCCATGTAAAAGAACAGGTAAGAGATGGGGCTTGTATAATTCACAATTTGTATTAGTAACACACTTGGTACTTGTGTATACCTTATCTATTGACAGATATGGAAGGGATTCATTATTTTAACTATGGTATTTTTAACTTACATTTACCATTATTCTGCAGCTAAAATATGACCCATCCTTAGAATCAGGAAGCCAAAACTTCAAAATTCAACTCCTAAAGGATCTGGTTTAGTTCGTTTGTTTTTATTGGGACTTTCCTCTTTCTGGGTTTGGGAATTTCTAATGAACCTCTGAGGTATCTCTGTGGTTTAGAGATTGGACAAGTTAAAGTAATAACAAAAAGGGCTTAGTATTTCTTTTTTTTAAGTGAGCCAAAGCTTTTAAAAATTATCTCCATGGGAAAATATCATGCAGTAAATGGTTGAAAGATTTTTTCCTTTGAATCAGACATGCCTTTAAAATCATTACTTCCTTATTTTTTTATATTTTGTATCATTTACTGCAATGCCCACTTAAGAACAATTCCTCCTCAGTTTTTTGTTGTTGTTGTTGTTGTCAGAAGTGAGCCCTTCTATTAAATCCAGGAACATTGTTGGGTTTGAATTAGCATAATCATTCATAGCTTAATGCTAGGCTTGTATTAGCATAATCATTCATAGTTTAATGTTCTCCATCTCACCATCCCAACCTTGATTTTCCAAACCTGTTGTTCTCTGGAATTTCCTGTTTTTGTACTGAGATTCATCATTTTTACAGTCTACAAAGTTTTCAAGAACACTGAATTTCAGAATTGTACTTTATATATTCTCTCTCATCAACAACCCTGCATGCTAATCAACTCTAACATCTGAAAGTTGATAAATTTTCTTTCTACCCAGTTCTAATTTTCCAGCCCTGCTTTAGTTTAAACCCCTGCCATTTTTCACATG